TTTAGACATCTCTTAAAATTTACGAGGTAACACACCTACTACATCATATGCAATTAATTTATGCTTACCCTTCAATACACAATATACAACTTGTTGAAACATAAGTTTTATAAAAGGAAACCATTTTATCAAATAATTACTTTCCATCTTTATTCCCCCAATCTTGGTCCCTCCATCAAATTTGTCTCTCACATTCATCTCTACAATTCGTGTACTTTTTTCAATATTGGTGCAAACCCTTTGTTTAATATTAGTGTTCATCTCTACAATCCATCGTATACTTTTTTCAACACTTTATTGGTGTTTCTTTTTTATAATAATTTTTGGAAGATAAAAAATTGCTTAATTTGAATGTTTGCCAAATGAAAGGACCGGTAGTAATTATGTTTGTGGTTGGATTTAAGATTTTTATGTTGGTTTATAACCATTTCGACACATATGGAATTAGTTATATTTGATTTTGCTTTTGTTTTAATGTGGATGTCTAAGTGTTATTTACCATTTCAATTTTTGATTATCAATATGATAGTAAATTACATTTTTTCCCAATTGAGTATAATTTTCTTATTTTTGGTCCCAATAAATATTTTGTTTGCAATTTTAGTCCTAAAAGATCTATTGTTTCAATTTTGGTCCTTGTTGTGGTATCATTAATATTTATAGTCCAATTTCGATTCTGATTACTATACTTTCACGTTTATATGTTTCATGTTATTTATTATTTAATTTATATTTAAACATTAATCATAACAATTTGCTCCGAGATTTGCAATAAAATAAAACCCAACCCCAACAAGCAATGAGTCGTGCTTTACGTATACAACCAAACCAAGACAACCACATTCATTTATTTAAACTAAAACCATAACAAGCTTTTATTTTTATTGTAAAATAGCAGCAAATTTATTTTCAAACCAAGAGCAACCTACTTTCATTTTAATGTAAAATAGCAGCAAATTTATTTTTAAAGTGAGAGCAACATACTAAGATACTTAAACTTTATCCAAAAGTAACAACTTACTTTTATTTTAAACCAAACCAACAAGGTACTTATATATTTAAACTAAAAAAACATTATACTTTTATTTTTAACCAAAACCAAAACCACAACAAACATTTATTTTAAACTAAACAACGTACTAAATGCCACCTGTCGCATTAAATTGTTACGTAATCATTCATCAAAAAAAGCATCAAGCATCCACCGCCCCAATCCCCGACCATTGCATTGTGCGAGTACCATACTACTATATATATATATATATATATATATATATATATATATATATATATATATATATATATATATATATATATATATATATATATATATATATATAATTCTTCAACATTAAGAGGTATAAGTTTTATAGCATACTATACAATTAGAAAATGCATAAATCGACTCTCCTAAATCTTAGGTTTTATTTCTTTCTCCACTTCATGTAACCATCGGTTAACCTATAAAGTTGAATAGTATATATTATTAAACATAAAAAACAATCCTATTGTGCTTGAACAAACTAATAATTCTTAACTGTATATATTAAATCGGATCCTATATTTATCGAATTCAAATTTGGAATCATGAATTTTCTTTTCACGTACAGTTTATATCCCGAACTCCGGTATTGTCTATAAATCTTCTAATGAAAATCAAACCATCATCTCACCCTTTGTCGCCTTTACAAGTGATGCTAAAGTTGTCAATCCTGATGGTTTGAGGGTATAAATCTTCTCGTGAGTGTATGGGTTGAACCCAAGAAACCAAAAAACCACCCAAACCGACTTCAGAACCCACGAAATTGAACCTATCAGAAACAGATCCTATTGGGTTCTAAAAACCAGAAACAACCATTTATGGGTTGGGTTGGGTTTGGATCCAAAACCGACCCAAATCGACCCATGCACAACTCTACTGTTGCCCATCTATTAAGTTTATATCATATTCTGACGTGAAATGATTATGAATAAAATTTGGCTATATCTTGTAGGTTTTGTTATTGTATATGGAAGTCGTTGCATTTATAATGCGCTCTATTAGTTACCAAAGATATTTGAACACGAAAACTTTAATTAGTGAAAAAACAACCATTTGAAAGTTTTTTATAGGACCATCGCTCTTTAAACGATTGCTATTGTTAGAGTATGGGTTTTTCTGTTTGAAAGTTTGTACAAGTTAAGATCAATCTTTTAGAAAATTATAATCACTTAACTGCCTTTGGCTTTTCAAAAATTAACCATATTACAATGCTAAAAGTTATAATAAAATGTCTTATAATTATGATGGGCCACTTACAAGCTTGAAAATTAATATTCTAATGTTTTTCCTAATAATGCAAGAAATCATAAAATCTATTTATTTTTATTATTTCGTACTTATTATATCTTGTAACCTCACTAAGATTTACCATATAATGCAAGAAAATCATAAAATCTATAGCTAATACCTTTTAAGGTTGACTTTCGGAAGGAAATAATATATCAATCGAACCATCCATTTACTGTAGAAAATTATATCCCGATGCATTGCACGGGTATATATATATATATATATATATATATATATATATATATATATATATATATATATACACACACACTAGTAAAGTACCTGCGCGATGCGGCGGCGATGAATTTTTTTGTTTCGATGAATAGTTTATTTTTAGCTGATGGTTTCTAGATGGCTATTGATTCCCTTCCGGCGGATGGTTTCCAGATGCAGTGGTTGATGGTTTCAGTTTTTTATGGTTTAACTTTTAATTTCAAATCAGTTGAAAAAAAATATTATTAGTCATTTTATTTGTCAACAAAATATTAGTTTGACTTAATTAAAATAGATTAACATAAAATTAAGTGATTTTTAGACGGTTTGTTAAATAATAATAATAATAATAATAATAATAATAATAATAATAATAACATAAGATAAAATTGCAAAAATGGTCCATGTGGTATGTCGAAAATTGTCACTTTGGGCCAAACAGGTTTGGAGTAGCACCAGTGGTCCAAAACGTTTAATTTGGTTGCGAGTTTGGTCCATTTTGCTTTAATTTTTATCAAATGATGATTTTGCCCTTTGTATTCTTTTCTTTCATTTTTTTATTGCACAAATGAAGAAAATATTCTCCATCTCTCTCTCTTTCTCTCACACCCATCTTCTTCTTCATCCTCAAGAACACTCAAGAACATCTTCTGCCACTATCACCGTTCAACCACCATCCGCCACCTCCATCTCCACCTAAATCAGATCGAATGAACACACACATAATATCATATCAGATAAATACACACATACACACACAAAACCAAATGAACACACACACACATGAAAGCTGATGAACACATACACAAATCAACACAAACATCCATCTAGTTTACAACATAATAGCGAAAACATATACATACACACACATACACACACACCGCAGCTCCGATCTTCAACTCGTTGTTTGGGTGGGACTTAGATCTGAGAAAGGGGGCGACCGGTGAAGGACAAACTGAGAAAAGAAGGACAAACTGAGTTGGTTTTGTTTTCGTGTTTGTCAACGTAGATTTTGTAGAGACGAAGTCGTCTCGGAGCATATGATATAGAGGACGACGGTGGTGGTGGTGGATTCTGGAGGGCCGATTTCCGACGGGCACTGTTGGCACAATCGATGTACAAATCTTGAAGGCGGGTTTTACAGATGAAGTTGGATTTATGGCATGAGAATTGTGGTGGATTTCCGATTGAGGAGATGCATCCTTTTCTTAAGCTTCTTTAATTGAATTTCGTCTTATTAATCTCCTTCAACATGTGTGTGTGTGAGAGAGAGAGGGAGGGTATTTTATTTTTGTTTTATATTTAATTATTATAAGAAAATAAAAATGGAAAATTAACTAATAAGGGGAAAAATTGTCTTTTCTAAATAAATTGGACCAAACTCGCAATAAATTGAAATTTTTGGACTATTAGTGTTAGTCCAAACTTGTTTGGCCTAAAGTAGCAATTATCAACATACCACAGGGAGCATTCTTACAATTTTGTCAAGACATAAGGGTTCTTTCTCCTACATTAATTGGTGAGATATTATGATTATAGGCTCTCAAAATAACAAATATCATATCAATCAAATTCAACCAATCAAATTTAACATCAACATTGCTGTAAATGTATAACTGTTAAATTAATATGAGTTTCAAGCTTGAACAGTGTAAATATAAAAATTATGAAACCTATGAGTTAGGTGTCTGGTAGTATTTATGTGTCTCGTAGTATTTACGATGACACTTTTCTATATTCTATTACTTAATTTATTCTTTTTATCTATAAAAAAGCTGCTGATTGTTTGATTCTATTTTTAATTATATGTATTATTAAATACAAATAACTATTCTCCAGGTCAATTAGAAGTTATCGTATCCCAATAGCAACTTGTGTAAACTATTCATTAAGTAACGACACACCTCTACAACCCATTTTTTAAATTAGGCTTAAACACAGTTAACTTGACAGGTTTTAGATCTAGCCAAAATACCAATAGGAAGTTAATCATACTATTTCATGAACTATGTGAGATCTAAATATTAAAAATCATCAACATAAATATTTCACAATATGTATTCATAGATATCAAAAAATCATCCGCAACAGAGATAGATCTACAATCATATTACAAATCCATTTGCCAAAAACAAAACTTTCCTACCAAATAAATTATCCCAATATGTGTTTCTAACCAGATCTGGAGAAAAAAAACACCATATCTACTTCTTGTATGTTCAAGCAGATATACTAATAAAAAAATATAAACAAATCTGAAATTGTTCGATGGTCACAAGATCAGTGCCGGTTGTGGACACTTTAGTGGAATCCGTAGGACAGTTCTGGCACACTCAATCATCTTGAGTTAAATGCTACAAGATTCAGCGTTGAAGAACACATGATGTGAAATACTAGTAATCATCTTGAGGTTCCAACCTATGTCGAGGGTTGGTTGAAAGATGTAGGAAAAATCATGGCAAAATCCGAAAAGGTTCTTGGTGAAGTCGCTAGTTGCTTTAATTTAAAGATTAGGCACAACGTAGGGAAGAATGCCTTCAATATAATTGAGGAGATTGATAGTGTGATGAGACGACACTCTCTAATTACTTGGACTGATCATCCCATTCCTCTGGGCAAAGTACTCTATTCAATGAAGGCATCCACCTCCACCCCATCAATTGAACACAATGTATTCCAGTCAAGAGAGGTGACTTTTAAAGAAGCACTAAAAGCACTTGGATCAAACCACAAAGGTCACATGGTAGCCTTATGTGGGATGGGCGGTGTGGGGAAGACCACGATGATGAAAAGGATAAAAGACGTTGTGGAAAAGAGGAAAATGTTCAATTATATTGTTATGGCGGTTGTAGGCGAATAGACAGACCCTATTGCTATTCAGAAAGCTGTAGCAGACTACCTTCGTATAGACCTAAGTGAAAGCACTAAATCAGCCAGAGCAGATAAACTTCGTAAATGGTTTAATGACAACTCTGATGGGGGTAAGAATAAGTTCCTCATAATACTTGATGATGTTTGGCAATTTGTTGATCTAGAAGATATCGGTTTAAGTACTTCTTTACCAAATCAAGGTGTCAACTTCAAGGTCTTATTGACATCACGAAAGAAAGATATTTGCACAATGATGGGAGTTAAAGATAATTCAATTATCAATGTCAAAGTCTTAGAAGAAGAAGAAGCACAAAATTTGTTCCTCCAATTCGTAGAAATTTATGATCGGGAGCTTCATCAGATACGGGTAGATATAGTAAAGAAGTGTTGTGGTTTACCCATTGCCATAAAAACCATGGCCCTAACTCTTAGATATAAAAGCAAGGATTCATGGAAAGATGCACTCTCCCGTTTAGAGGACCATGAAACTGAAAATGTTGCAAATGAAGTTTTCGAGATGAGCTACCGCAATCTCCAAGATGAGGAGACCAAAGCCATTTATTTGCTTCGCGGTTTGTTCCCCGAAGACTTTGATATCCCTACCGAGGATTTAGTGAGATATGGGTGGGGATTAAATTTATTCAAAAAAGTGTATACCATTAGAAAGGCAAGAACGAGGTTGTATTCTTGTATTGAGAGACTCATGGATTCAAATTTGTTAATTGAAAGTAATTATGTTGGGTACATCAAGATTCACGATTTGGTGCGCGATTTTGTTTTAGATATGTATTGTAAAGTCGAGCATGCTTCAATTGTCAGCCATGGTAATATGCATGGTTTTATTGAAAATAATATGACCGACTCTTGCACAGCAATTTCATTATCATGTGAGAGTATATCTGAGTTTCCAAGAGACCTTAATTTCCCAAATCTAACGATTTTGAAACTTATGCATGGAGATAAGTGGCTAAGGTTTCCTCAAGACTTTTATAAAGGAATGGAAAAGCTTCAGATAATATCTTACGATGAAATGAAGTATCCATTACTTCCTTCATCACCTCAATTCTCAATAAACCTTCGAGTGCTTCAACTTCATGCATGTTCATTAAGAATGTTTGATTTCTCATGTATTGGAAATATGTTGAACTTGGAAGTGCTCAGCTTTGTTGATTCTGGAATTGATCGGATACCTTTGACAATTGGAAACTTAAAGAAATTAAGGCTACTTGATCTGAGATGTTCTCATGGTCTTTGTATAGAACAGAGTGTCTTGAAAAATTTGATCAAACTTGAAGAACTTTATATTGGAAATTCATCTGGTCTTATAGATGATAACTACAATGAGTTGTCAAAGCGTTCAAGCAGCCTTTTCGCATTAGAATTAGAGTTCCTTAATAACAAGGATCAAATGAAGAATGTGTCATTTAAGAATCTTGAACGATTCAAGATATCAGTGGGACGCCGTTTAGATAGATATATCAGTAAGAGTAGTCACCCATATGAAAACACGTTGCAGTTAGTGACCAGCAAAGGTGACATACTAGACTCGAAACTTAATGAGTTGTTTGTGAAAACTGTGGTGCTTTGTTTAAGTGTAGATGACATGACTGATCTTGAAGATGTTGAGGTAATATCTTCAAATTCTTATCAATCCTCTTCATTATGCAATTTAAGAGTCCTTGTCATTTCTGGTTGTGCGGTGTTGAGATACCTTTTCAAACTCTGTGTTGCAAACACTTTGTCAAATCTTGAGCATATGGAAGTTTATGAGTGCGATAATATGGAAGAAATCATACATAATGGGACTGGGGGTAGTGGAAAAGAAACAATTACATTCCCCAAGCTGAAATTTTTATCTTTGGGTGGACTACCGAAGCTATTAGGTTTGTGCCTTAATCTCAACAAAATTGAGTTACCACAACTCATAGATTTGAAACTTGAGGGCATTCCAGGTTTCACACGCATTTTTCCACTAGAAACATCTACTTTGTTTAAGGGAGAGGTAGATATATACATGCTTTATGCAATACAATTTAAATAATCTTTTATACTAAAAGTTTGAAAATGTACTTGTAATTTGATTGTGTAATGTATTATTTTTGGATGTGGCTATTAAAGGGTGATTTTTTGCAGGTTGTGATTCCTAAGTTGGAGACACTTCAAATTGATGACATGGAGAACTTAAAGGAAATATGGCCTTGGGAACTTAATAGAGATGAGAAAGTTAAATTGAAAGAGATTGAAGTGAATAATTGCCATAACCTTGTGAATCTATTTTCGTGCAATCCCATGTCTCTGCTGTATCATCTTGAAGAACTTAAAGTTAAGAATTGTGGTTCCATTGAACCGTTATTCAACATCGACTTGGATTGTAATGGTGCAATTGGTGAAGAAGACAAGATTAGCAGCTTAAGAAGCATCAAAGTGGTGAACTTAGGGAATCTAAGAGTGGTGTGGAGGATAAAAGGTGCATATAACTCTCGTCCCCTCGTCTATGGCTTTCAAGCTGTTGAAAGCATAAGTATTGAAACATGTGAGAGGTTTAGAAATGTATTCACACCTTCCACCACCAGTTTTGATCTGAGAGCACTTATGGAAATGAATATAAGGGATTCCGGTGAAAACAAGCAAAACAACGAATTAGTAGAGAGTAACCAAGTGCAAGAGCAGGTATGACTTTCAATTGAACTTTCTTACATGATTAAGGACTAAGCTTTTCTTTTATATAAAAAAAGGATGGGATGACTTAAATTGGGCATCACAATTGGAACATAAGGTTACTAACCATTAACCGACAAAACACTTGAAGTAATGTTTGCGAAACAATTCATGTATAAATGTGACCAACTCATTTATTTATAAAATGACTAAAACATATGATTTTTAATTAGAGGATTATTATAACAAGTTTAAAATAGTTTAAAACATAACAAATGCTTACTAAAATTTTGTAACTTTATTTGTTATAAATGTCATTTATGATTTTTTAGTAAAAAAATAACACAATGGTAAAGTTTGACATACTTTATTATGTAGACATATAAATTTGGTCCATGTAGTATACATATTTTTATAGTTGGCAAATCCATCACATTTTTTTCTCCTAACGTCATTACTGTTTTTTTTTTTTTTTTTTTTTTTTTGATAAATTTAATGTAAAGGACTGTTTTTCCCTTCAATTTTTTCTTTTTCTTTTAGTATTATTACATATATTAATATTTTATTTTAATAATAAGGACCTCTGTCTTAATCTTAAATTGCTTCCATAAGACCATCTCCAATAATAATAATAAAATTCCAAGAATTCAAAAACCCAAAATGTAAAAAACCCAACTGAAGCACACAAACCATTAGTTGGATTAAAAGACAACAAAAATACTTTTGATCAACATGCCACGGAAAAAGCATGTCGGAGATGCAAAGAACAAAAATACCTGAAAAAAACCCAAGAATTCATAACAAAAATAAACTCTAATCATTACACAAATAAACCCCAAATTAGATTAAAGTCATTAAACAACCCACAATTCATACCATAAATCAATCCCAACTCATATTAAAAAAAAATGGAATACAATGTATACAAAGCACTACAAATTATGTAGCCTCTTTACAACAGCCATGGTTTGTTCTAGGTACCATCATCTATTTATGTTCTATATACCTTGATTTAGACCAGATATCTTAAATGCTGAAATCGATTCAGCTTAAACTCAACCAACATATTAAGATAGATGAGAGCCGAAGCTACAAGCCAATATAAATTCCTTTCTTCTGTTTTCTTGATCTTGATAGCACGTTAAATGATTTTGTACTTCAAATTGATAAAATTCTACATTGTAGAGAGATTATCTTGAAAACAGCTGGTCCAAGTGGGTCTGGATCTGGTTGATGAAAATGGTGTTATGACAAAAGTATACAATCAACAAGATTAACAAAAATAAAACAAACGAAATTGAAATATATATATATATATATATATATATATATATATATATATATATAAGAATCAGTTTACAGAAAACATATTTGATGGTTTATGCTTACAACAGAAACACAAAAACGAAATTATGTAGATTGAGGCCTGCAAATTGCAGTGTTCTAAGACAGAAATTTCCCTGGTAGGGATCTGTCTAGAGGATACAACAATCAACTAAGAACTTCTCTTGATTTTGATGAAATTCTCTATGTTCCCTTCATTGTATTTGGAGTACGAAATCATAAGAGGAATCTGTATGCAATTTTTCTTAACCTGAAATCTGGTCTTTGGTGATCTATTTATACATATAGATTGCCAGGTTTTTTCCCTCAAAAACTGCTAACCGAAAATAACTGTCAAAACAGTTAAAACGAATTTAACAGATTTTTAATATATAATAAAAGTCAAATCGGAATTAATATATATAAAATATTGTAACTATTCAATGAGACCCCAAGGCCCAAGGCCAATCTTGACCATTAAATATATATATATATATATATATATATATATATATATATATATATATATATATATATATATATATTAATATAAGCTTTCAAAACCAATTTGCCTAGCCCAATCACCAAATCCAACCCATTCCCTCTAATCCAAGCCTTTGATCTAATTAGTAAACAACTAGTAGGAAGCTTTTTAAGGGAGTATAAGTTTCCTCTTTCTTCCAATGTGGAACAAATCCCAAAGAGGGTGTTTTCCATTTAACAAAGTTCCAACAAATGGAAGGGAGAGTTGGGGCGGTACTTCCAACATGGGAAGGGGTGTGGATTTATAGAGGAGATGGTTTGGGATGGTAATATGGTTGAACCCATTCATCTTTGTTTTTTTTTTTTTTATTTAAAATTTAATTAGGGGTATCAGTTGCAGCTTCTTATTCCTAATTATCCAATCAAAAAGGGTGATACTTAAAAGCGTAGGGACTTAGGTTGTTTGGAAACAATTATGTGTCTCTTTGGTGGGCATATAAATTTGGCATACTTAACCCTTTAATTGACTATGGTTGCTTATTAACTCAATTTCAAACTAAACTTTGTTTCTTGTTTGACAATTTCCATCATTCGCAAATGTTTCTTGAAAAATTACCTAAAATTAAAACAATCTTTTGCAAATCCAAAATTCTAAGTGTGAATATAAAGTATTAACACAATTCGGTACTCATGTTACTAGCTGCATTTTTTGTTGAAATATATGTCTGCAGACTGATATTCTGTCAGAGGAAGAGACATTACAAGTTACTACTAGCTGTATTTCTAATGTATTCCCATCCTGTCTCATGCACTCTTTTCATAACCTCCATAAACTCAAATTGGAGAAGTATGGAGGAGTGGAGGTGGTGTTTGAGATAGAGAGTCCAACGACTAGTGAATTGGTAACAACTCACCATAACCAACAACCGCCTATTATACTTCCCAACCTCCAGGAATTGTATGTAAGTGATATGGACAACATGAGTCATGTGTGGAAGTGCAGCAATTGGAATAAATTCATCACTCTTCCAAAACAGCAATCAGAATCACCATTCCACAACCTCACAAATATAAGTATTTATAATTGCAAAAGCATTAAGTACTTGTTTTCACCTCTCATGGCTAAATTTCTTTCCAACCTAAAGAAAGTCGAGATAGAACTATGTTATGGTATTGAAGAAGTTGTTTCAAACAAAGATGACAAGGATGAAGAAATGAATACATCTACCCGCACAAGCACCATCTTGTTCCCTCAGCTTGATTCTCTCATTATAAGATACATGAAGAATCTGAAGTGTATTGGTGGAGGTGGTACCAAGGATGGGAGCAATACAATATCTTTCAACAATACCACTACAGCTACTGCTTCACTTGATCAATTTGAGGTATGTTTTGTACATATACAAGTATTTATTTAATTTTTTTGTTAACATCCATTTTTCTTTGCAATATTCTATGAAAATCACCAAATCACCTACAAGAGATTTAAACTTTTATTGCATCCATTATAGCCAGAATTTCAACCATTTATATATTTAAGTTCTCATATTTAGAGTATCTTTAATTGAAGGTTTTTTTAGAGATCAATTCTTTAGAATCAACCTCTTAGAATGTTTTTTTTTTTACCATTAGAGAAGGTAGCTTTTTAGGTCAAATACTGTCGACCATTTTTATTCTACTAAGTGCTTTTTGAGTTTTGTGTTTTGTGTAACTAACCCAAAGAATCAACCTCTTAGAATGTTCCATTTTACTCCTCTAATTCTATTTAATTTTTAAAGCTTTATTACTATCTGACTTATGAATTTATTTAATTATATTATCAAATATATATTCAATTGAATTTGTAATGGTCATATGATACATTTTCGTCGTCTTTTTTTTCAAAGCCAAATATGATTTAGTACTACTTTTTTTAATTATACGTATCAAAATATATTGATATTATTTAATGTTATTCTTTGGTTTTATAAATACTAAAGGTGTCATGTTTGTAAAAAAGAACTGAAATCAAACCCAAGATAACACATTTATGTTCTCTAATCTGAACAAGAAAGAACCAAGAAGGCGTTAGGTATTAGACAACATAGTAACTTAGTTTAGCTATTAGGGGCCATCATGCTACAAACAAAATCATGCATAATTAACTATCAGTTTCAAACACAAGTATTAATGGAGAACTATGCAAGGTTGAATATTGTCTATCACAATATTATATGTTTGTTTTCCTGATGAATCATTTAATTGGTTCTGTTGGCCAGGTTCCAGCCGGTCTCCATTAGCACCCAGAAAATTATTCACTTCTCATCATTTAATTTATGCTTGAAACTGATTTTGCTTTAATTTACGCACATCATTCAACAGCCCTTTAAAATATGTTACCCAAAACGAATTTCATCATCAACCAAATTGATAGAAAACCTTTGAGTTGGCTATTTCAACTAGAAGATATGAGTATTTTTAGCTGCTTGTTGTGCTAAACAAACATATGCTTTCTCAATTTCATTGATTTTGCATTCTAAAATTATTGGTTGTAGAGTGGTGTGTCATTTATTTGATCTTCAGTGAACCCTGGCATTATTTATAAAAAACGGAAACTGTATTTTTCATATGGAGAACACTGGTGTTGATTTAGCATTAAAATTAAAATGTTGAATTGGTTTTCTCATACCACAGTTGTGTATATGTATGTAGTTTTGTAACATACAATTAAGCTCTGGTAAGTATATAGTTTAATTTTACATCAAATTTCCACGCGTTTTGCAGTTTTTAGAAGCAGGTGTCGCTTCTTGGAGTTTATGCCAATACGCTAGAGAGATAGAGATACATAAGTGTGATGTATTGTCAAGTGTGATTCCATGTTATGCAGCAGGACAAATGCAAAAGCTTCAAGTGCTGACAGTAAGGTCTTGTGATGGGATAAAGGAATTATTTGAAAAGAGTGGTTGTGATGAAGGAAATGGTGGAATTCCAAGGCTAAATAACGTAATTATGCTTCCCAGTCTAAAGATATTGCACATCGCATGTTGTAGGGGTTTGGAACACATATTCACATTCTCTGCACTTGCAAGCATGAGACAGCTCGAAGAGTTAACTATAAAATATTGCAAGGCCTTGAAAGTGATTGTGAAGAAGGAAGAAGACAATGCATCATCATCGTCATCGAAGGAGGTTGTGGTCTTGCCTCATCTAAAGTCCATTGTACTATTGGATCTACCTGAGCTGGAAGGTTTCTTCTTGGGGATGAATGGATTCCTATGTCCTTCATTGGATACGGTTGGGATCATTGATTGTCCTAAAATGCTGGTATTTGCACCTGGTGGGTCCACAGCCCCCCAACTCAAGTATATACACACAGGATTAGGCAAACATACTCTTGGAGAATGTGGTCTTAACTTTCATGTCACAACTGCTGCACATCGTTAGGTATAATTACTTGTGTGTGTGTGTGTGTGTGTATATATATATATATATATATATATATATATATATATATATATATATATATATATATATACCTAACCACATCATACTACGTAATTTTATATCATATTTGCATTGTAATCACCCAAAGTTTTTAAAATTCAACCTCATAACTTGATTGTTTCCAAAATCTTTGGACTTTCACCATTATAATCCTTCAAATGACTTCTTTCTATCGGAGACCCCCTGGTGGGCTTCATATACTACCGTTACGAATCAAATGGTGTAGGAAGAATATAATGGTGAATATCTGAAAATCTTGGAAGTAAATCAAGTTAAGGGTTGAACTTTAAGAACCTTACACGATTGCAATGGAAATATAATGTAAAACAATGTAGTATAATGTGGTTAGATACCTAAGCTTATATAAGGTTGTTAGGTATATTCACTTTACCCATATATATATATATATATATATATATATATATATATATATATATATATATATATATATATATATATATATATATGGCATCATCAAATTAAGAAACCATGAGGCCAAGTAAAAGTATTAAAACAAAATGATACCAGTTTCGGTCTAATATTTTGTTGCAACTTGAATCAAAATTTTCCAGAACGTATTCTGCATATCTAACTTAATTTATGAGATCAAATATAGTAATCCATGAATTGAATAACTTTTAGTTGGATTTATAATCAAGTACTATCGTGATTAATAATTATAATCTCTTGTATATTGTTCAAATTAGTACAATATATGATATTTCAAATGCTTTTGTTTAACATATGCCTACATTTTCTTTATTGGACTTGCAGACACCATACCCCAGCTCATACGGGATGCCTTGGTCTTTTCATAACTTGATCGAGTTAGATGTAAACATAAACAGTTATGTTAAGAAGATTATTCCATCCCGTGAGTTGCTGCAACTGCAAAAGCTGGAAAAGATAACTGTATTCTCATGTTGGGAGGTAGAGGAGGTATTTGAAACTGCAGGGAGAAATAAAAATAGTAATTGTAGTAGTGGTAGTGATTTTGATGAATCGTCACAAACTACTACTACTACTACTACTACTCTTTTCAATCTTCAAAACCTCAGAGAAATGAAGTTGAATTATCTATGTGGTCTGAGGTATATATGGAAGAGCAATCAATGGACAGTATTTGAGTTTCCAAACCTAACAAGAGTCGATATATGGGGATGTGATAGGTTAGAACATGTATTTACTAGTTTCATGGCTGGTAGTCTATTGCAACTCCAAGAGCTTCGTATAGAGAACTGCAAGCATATTGAAGAGGTAATTGTTAAGGATGCAAGTAGGGATGAGATTTAGAACCGGAAAACCGGACCGGAACCGGAACCGAACCGGAACCGGACCCGTTAGAACCGGAATATATAGAACCGGGTCCGGTTCCGGGTTTAAAAATTGGCTTTATCCGGGTTCCGGGTAATCCGGGTTTAGGTCCATTGGGTCCGGGTAAACCGGGTCTAAAATCCGGAACCGGTTTTTGGAACCGGAACCACTTTTAGGGCCGGAACCACTTTTTGTGAAACGTTTACAAGATGTATATCTTATTCGTTTCAACTCCAATTGAAATACGGTTTTTTCCAACATGTAGTTTAGAGTTTGTACATGATTCTAGACTATAAATTTTTCATTTTTAGTTTTATATTCATTGACTTACAGTCCTCAAAAGTTGAGATACCAAAGCTGAAAGTTTTTAGTTTTTTAGTTTTTTAGTTTTTTTGTATTCGGTGAAAGTTTTAAAGCATGCATATCTAATTCGTTTGAAGTCGGATTGACATGTGGTTTTTTTTCAACTTCTAGTTTACAGTTTGTGCATGAGTTTAGACTATAATTTTGTCATTTTTGGTTTAACATTCAATGATTTACAGTCCTCCGAAGTCGGGATATCAAAACTGAAAATGTTTTTGTACTTTGTATTATGTGAAAATATTAACACAGGTATATCTCATTCGTTTAAATTCGGATTGACATGAGGGTTTTTCCAGAGTGTATTTTAGACTTTGTACATGATTTTGGACTCTAATTTTGTTAATTGTGGTTTCGTATTCAATAAGTTACAGCCCCCCAAAGTGGAGATATCAATATGAAAATTTTCAAAGTTCAACCCACTAAGTTGTAAGTAATTACCAAAAATTCCGGTTTTTTTCGGGTTTTTCGGGTTTAAACCCACTTTATCCGGTTCCAACCTACCCACTTTGATGTTTCCGGGTTTTCCGGTTCTAGACCCACTTTACCCGGAACCATACCCGGAACCGAACCGGAACCGGTTCCTATATACCGGTCCGGTTTCCGGTTCTATAAAATCCCGTTAACCGGTTCCGGGTTTTCCGGGTCCGGGTCCATCGGGTCCGGGTTTGGACCCACTTTCATCCCTAGATGCAAGTGGTGTTGTAGAAGAAGAGGAGGAACGAACTGATGGCAAAATGAAAGAGATTGTGTTACCTCATCTAAAGTCCTTAGTACTTGGAAGTCTTCAATGTCTTAAGGGGTTTAGCTTCGGGAAGGAGGATTTTTCATTCCCATTATTGGATACTTTGTGCATTGAGTATTGCCCAGCAATAACAACTTTCACCAATGGATATTCTACAACTCCACAGCTAAGAGAAATAGAAACAAGTTTTGGCCTGTTTTATGCTGCAGGGGAGGATATCAACTCCATTATAAAGATGAAACAAGAGGTAAATACATGTTCCTTGATTTAATAATTCTTAGAGTACATTTCAAAACTAGTCATGTATGTTGTTTTGTTACTGTCAACAGCCTAGCTTGGATCCTTCTCAAAAAATTCAACTTTATATTTATATACTTTAATTCATGCAGGAATTCAAAAGACACCCATATTAATGTCAAGTAAATAATAAAGGTTAACTCTATTTCCAAGCACTCATTGTTGGCTATAACCTATTTTTCTCCTATGCATCAATGGTATGTGATTCGTGCATTTCTGACTTGCTCTTCATGAGGATGTAAATTCTGATGTTGGACTACAAATGGTGTATCCTTTTTGCTTCCAAAGACAGTATCAAGAATCGCTGGAGATAAGTTACAATGATTTCAACCATTCTGTATCTTTGAAAACTGTGACATTCATGTCCACGTTTTTTAGTACTCAATTCCTTTCCTAATTGTATTCAATCAAAAGTGCATAACTGTTTATCATTATTCTTAAACATAATTATAAGATTCATTTGTCATCATTATTGGTAATTGTTATTGGTTGAGTAGTATCCTGAATACTTGGTTCTTTGGTGAAACCTTTTTTACCCAAACAAATTTTCTAATATAACAATAATTATACAAAGAAGTTTTGTTATGTGGGCTTGGTTTCTAAACCCACAGGTGCTATCAATTCTTTGAGGCCACATCTATTTATACATAGAAAATGTAACCTTCTGTTGTAAATATTTTATATCGGAGGGATGAGATTTTTCAAAAGCCTTGAATGGCAATTACATATTGGATGATCATTACTTACGGAAACAAGTCAGTAAAAATCACTTCTTCTACTAAGCCCTCAAAATAAAACTACACCTAATAAAACCTTTTATAATTAAGTGTAGTTTTATTTTTTTTGAATTTATTCAATTAATGAAGACAATACTCAGTCAAGTAAAGCTATATGTGGGTGCTTCTTTATGACATAATGCAAAAAGAATGTCTTAATAGAGAAAATCAAGAAGATGTTTCTCCATCAAGTTCTAATTTTCAAAAATTTACCCTCATTTTTTTCTTCCATTCCTTTGAGTGTCATGGTTTTCTCAAATGTGTTTAAGCATCATTTATTAGGGAAAAACAATGAACAGGGCCTTAGTGTCTTGTATTCAAGAAGTCAAAGGGATATAATAATAGGTTTCAACATTAGAATGCTTGGTTAATGCTTGTCTATATCAAGCCAACCTTAAAGCACATACCATGAAAGCAATTGGACGAAGAACTTGCAGCCATCTTGAGATACTTACAATTTCCTTCTACATGAAAGCAACAATCTAATTAAACTTTACCAGATATGCTATTCTTTAGCATCTCAGTAATCTTGAAAAAGTAAATTCAAAAGATCTGAAATTAAGAGTATCTGTAAACAATTAGGAGATCATATTAACCAATGCATGCAAGGCCCGGACACAGTCAAAACATACAAATAACATTAAACGACAATGTTAAAGTTCAATGCACCTTGCATTGAGGGTGACTAATTCATCCTTGATTTTGCATTACTTCTTACATTATTGTGAAACATTTCATTTATCTATTTCTCTTAAAACAATCTAAAATAATTTTATCAGGCCCTATTTTCTAGCAGCTTACATCAGTTTATTTCTTTAGTACAGAAGTAATTAAATAAAATTACATAAGTGACACTTCAATAGAATCTATCAACTAGCAATGAGTGGTGGTACAAGACCACAACCATCTAGTCATTTACTACCATTTCTTGTCTAGACTCCTCTTTACAACAATGAATCTAATCTCTTTCACTGAATCATGATGCTTCAAAACTGACAGAAATTTAGTTAATGATTTTGCTTCTAACAAGCATATTTTCCATATCCGTTTATTCATAAAATATTTCCCCACCATGTTTGAACCCAAGTTTGTGCGAGAGGATGGTTTATAGGCTCATATTCTTACCTGTGTTCACTTAAGCATATCATCAAACACTTAATGTGCGTCAAACAAAGGTGGCTGTTTATTCAATCATGTGCGTGTTTCACCCAAACGTAACATAAAAAACCTAGTGACTAGTGAGAGTAAGTCAAGCAAAGGGTGGGCATAAACTATGGGTGACCATGATAACCGTTATAACTACAGCAAACTACACCCTCCAATCTCCATCTGATAAAAATTTGAGCATGTTACAGACCATATATTATCAGCAGTTAATCATTTCACATGATTGATTACTATGACCCAATATAGCTTGAAATGAGCAAAAACAAAAGAATAGAACATGGAAATACCTCAAAATCAAACTGTTAATTTCATGGGACTTGGTCATTGACATAGTAGCATTGGAAAATAAATTAAAAGTTAATGATTGCAAAGAGCTGCTTTGGGCATATATAGAATCTGAATATTCTTTTCAAAATTAATTAAATAAATAATAAAAATTAGGGTGAAATACAATAACCAGAGGATACCTCGCATGCAGTTGAAGTAGTTTTCACCATCAATTGAGGAAAGCGCAGCTACTTTTTCCATTGGATGAACCGAAAGATGAAAGCCACTTGGAGTAACGACGAGGAAGAATAAATACAATATGCATGAAAAGTATTTAAATTATTATGAATATATAGGTATAGAGATCATATTTCAATTAATAATAAAATTTACTCTTTATCAGTTTATCTATGACATTTATATAAATTGAAATTAATTTTCTTTTCTAAATGAATAGGAGGGACCGAGGCGAAATCTCTCATTAAATACAACGCTGCCCCTCACCATTAAGGCATTAACTATCGCAAAGAACAAAAGCTCTCATGATTAGAAGATTTGTCAAATAATCCTCTCAACGTCTAAAGTTGGATGTGTCATGCTAATACGTTTATAACTGAATCAGACAAGGAGATGAGATTATTCCAATATGAACAACAGAAACCTGATTGTGGTAAGCGCTAAATTCTCTTGTTAGATTTCGTTTTCCGAGTTTTATAGTACTTCACTTCTCAAGTAAGCTCATAGATTGTTGCTTTTTAGTTATTTCATTGGTTTGGAAACCTTAGTTGATAATGGTGCCCCCCAAGTGTTCGACAGAATGTCTTAAAGAATGTTCATAGCCATATGGTGATTGTCTTGACTCTGAATGCAGGTTTGAGTGAAATGCTGGACTACCCACAGCTTTTCCACATACAAACTGTGTATTATAAGCAGCGGCTATGTTTTGTTCCAGTTTCTGCATCTTGAAGACTAAAAACACCAACAAAATAAGTCCTGTTTCTTATGATTTCAGAATTGTAAACAGAAATGCAATGAAAGTTGGTATCATTTGGCTCGAAAACATCAACATGTAACTCTTTTCTTTAAAATCTTATTAATACATACTTGGAATTTCTATATTATGATTACAAATTGATATGACTAATTTTCTTGCCAACTAGTGGTGCACTTTGTTTCTATATGCAAAGTATATATTCATCATGAAACCAGTGAGTGAAATATAAGATAATAATAATAATATCACAGTATACATTAATGTTCAGCTGCTTCATCCATGCACCTTTAGACTCTTGTTCGACCATTCCAATAAGCATCCAAAGTAACACTAATCACACACACATTTAGAAGACTTAACTAATTGATTATAAGTTTTCAAAACAGAATGTTGTGGATACCATTTGGAACAGAAAATATAAAGCATATTTTGTTGGATAGTGCTTAGTATCAATACATAAATCATATTTGTTAAGTTGGAGTCATTTTCTAAGTTATCCAATGGGCATATATAATATTATTTTAGTGGATTTTGGCTTATTAATTAGGGATATATACAGTAAAGCCCCGATATTTTCATCCAATTGACACGAAAGTCCCAAACTAATTTTTTTTGACACAAAAGCCCGAATTACTGGCATTTATTGACCCGATTTACCTTTTCTGCCGGTGCATCCGGTTTACTTGGTGAAGTGGCACCAAATGCTTACATGGACCACTGATTTATTAAATGAGAGGCTTATGTGGAGTTGTCGACCTTACTTAAGCACCATACCATCAATCCCCATGAACCCTAGCTTCGTATTTTTCAAAGGAAAAGACGAGAATGTCGTCTTCTTCATCTATTGGAAGCAAGGTTATGCGAAGGTTCAATCCCCCTCAAAGGACACATTGCGATTGCGGTGACTTAGTTGGAAGGTGGACTTCATGGAAGACAAGAAATCCTGGAAGAAGATTCATTGGATGCCCAAATTATAGGGTTAGTTGTTAATGTTGAAATTCTTCATCTTTTAGTTTTTTTTTCTTTCTTTAATCTTGGATTATCCAGGATTCGAGTAAAGATTGCAAATTCTTTGATTGGGTGGATCCTCCACTCCCTAATCAGTGGTACAAGGACTTGCTCTTACAATTGCACAATGGGTGGAATGGAGATGTTGTAGAACAAATGGAAGAAGCAGTAGTAGAAGTTGTTCCAGCTCAAGTGCAAGGTGCAGGTGGTGTGTTCCAAGGTGGTCAATGTTCTGGTTTATTTTGGGTTTATGTTTTGGTTTGTATTTTAAGATAATGTATTGGGATATGTAGTCACTATGTACGATGTTGTTTCTTTTGCAATGTAATGAACATTTTACTTATGTTGTATTGAATTATGGTGAAATCAAAGTACCACAACTATGAACCACATATGAATAATAAAACTGTCAATAACCAAGGCTAACCTGCACAACCAAACTTGAAATAAAATATGACATTGATCAATTGTGACCATTGGTTAATGCCCTTGCTTAATTACCAGTAATTGTTTACAAAATATGAACCAATATAAGTGGATATGTACCACCATTTACAAAATATGAACCACAAAGTGGTATGCAAAATATGAACCAAAAGATGGTATGCATCAGTTTACATAGTACCACCTTTTACAAAATATGAACCAAAAGATGATAACCCCTATCACTAATCTATAACTAATGCCTTATCTTCACACATTCCTATACCAAGAGGGTCAACCACCTTCTTTTTCAGCTTCTGAAGAATGATCCTCTCTGAGGGTCTCCTTGTTCTTTGTTTCATATTATTCCCAAAATGCCCTTGTTGTACTGGATCATTCACTGGAACACCTTCTTCATCTTCTTCTTGTCCATCTCCTTCATCTCCTTCTCCATCTTCTTTTTCTCCATCTCCTTCTCCTTCTTGTCCATCTCCACCTCCTTCCACTCCATCTCCTTGTCCATGTCCTCCTTCTTCTTCATTACCCTGTCCATCTCCTTCTAGTCCACCTTCAACATTGGCAGCCTAAAACAGAAAAAAAAAATAGTAAAAAACACTTAATCATATACATAAACACTAAATGAAACCTTACCACATATCCAAACTCTTCTAAATGAGCTTTTGTAATTCCAAGGCATCTCATAATGTCTACATCAGTGTAACCTGATTTCCTCAACTCTGTAATTTGTTGTGTAATGTAGTCCATATCTGCCATATCCAGCCCATCTCCATCACTCATCACATCTACATCCACCATCTCTTCAGAATTATATTCTTCATTGACCCTTTTTTGGGGTGGTACTGTATTTGAGGTTTCACCTCTTTCAAACCAGCTATGAAAGCCACCCCCACCTCTAGGTACCCTACCACCTCCTCTATTTCCCCTTGTCCCCCCTCTACCACGTCTTGTCCATTGGGTTAGACTAGGGTCCAATCTTGGCCTGCCTATTTTCTTATTGGGTTTAGGATCTGGTTCAACATGTGGATTTTTACAGGTTTTCTTGTTGTGCCCCTTTTGTTGACAGTTTTGACATTGGACAGTTCTGCCCTTTGAGGACACTTGAGAGAACTTGTCATCCCTCTCTGATACATGCCTTTTCCTTTTCACAGTAGGCCTGCCTGGCATCCTCCTCTCTAAGGGGGGTAAGGGCTTAATATAAGGAGCTTCTATCCATAAATTGCTGCCATTAACAGGTAGAATGTTATAACTATAACTTGAAATGTACATTGCCTTACCAAACCACTTGCTGATAAATGTCTTTGGATCCTGATGAGTTAACATGATAGATGCTTGGGCATGGACACATGGTATCCCTGATACATCCCAAAGTCTACATGCACAACTCCTTTTCTCTATGTTGACTCCATATGATTCAAGACCATTTCTAACTTCAAATTCATTTTGTCCACTAGGGTGTACCCTCCAAAAACTGCAAATAAAAGTTGTTACTAAATTAGCATAAAAGTTATTAATAACTTAGCATAAATGTATACAAAACAAGGAGAACTTACTTCAAGTCCTCTCCAAATTCTTCCATTTTCTTAATTGCAGATGGACACACATCTCCTTCCCATTTTTCAGCTAACTCCCTGAGGTTGTAAACCTTATCTCTTAATTGCAGATGGACACACGTCAGTAGTGGCTTCTTCCTAGCATCAAGTATAACTGCATTGAAGCATTCTGCCATACCATTTTCTACAGCCTCACAGGCTAATCCAGTGGAAAAGAAAGCCCTGCACCATGTATTTGGCTCCCTTGCCATTAGATGTTCATAAGCACCTGGGCTAATCTGTCTTATCTCATCCATGTGATTCTTGAATTCACCCTCTACAGTTGATTTGGCAGCCTTCCGGAATAGGTTCCTTAACTGAATTCCACTATATACTTGTCTGAAGTTGGCATAGATATGTCGTGCACACTGTCTATGCTCAACATATGGTAACACCTCCTTTGTTGCCTCAAGAAGACCCTTATGTTGGTCTGAAATTACACACATGCCCCTTCTTGCATCCATTCCAAGGTCAACCTCTAACAACTGAAGGAACCACTTCCAGTTAAACTTATTCTCAATTTCAACTACAGCCCAAGCTATGGGAAAAACGTGATTGTTTGGGTCCCTACCTATGGCTGTTAATAATTGTCCCTTACACTGCCCTTTCAGAAAAGATCCATCGATCCCTACTACCCTTCTACAACCCATCTTCCACCCTTCTTTGATTGATTTGAAACATATGTACATCCTTTTGAAAATAGTTGTACCATCATTGTTGTCTTCGACACAAATTTTAATGGTGCTGTCTGGATTGGATCTTAGCAATTCACCACCATAATCCCACACCCTTGCATAGTGATCACCTAATTTTCCCTCAATCATGGACATTGCCCTACATCTAGCCCTATAACTCCTTACCCATGAAATCTTAGTGTGAAATTTGTGTTGAACTTTTTCTTGGATTTCCTTAGCTTTCAAATTAGGTGTCCTAATAAGTTCTTTAAGGAATTGTCTAGCTAACCATGTTGGTCCCATAAGTTTTCCATTGTTAAAATTCTTGACACATGTATGATGTGGATACATTTTCTTTATTTGGAATGACTTTTCAGTGCTCATCCAAGAGGCTTTAACATAATAAGGGCAACCAAATTTCTCATGATCACTAGCACACACACAGTGTAGTCTAACACTATCACATTTATGAAACCTAATCTGATAACCTTTAGATATGGCATGATTTGTTAAACAGAGTTTAAGTTGCTGTGGAGATTCATACCTTTCTCCCTCTTGAGGTTTCATTCTATTCCATTTCACATTTGGATCATGTGTGGAATATTTAAACTGAGCTTCACTATCATTTTCCTCTTCATCCACAACTTCATCTACATTTTCTTCCTCCTCCTGTTCGTCATCCAAAGGTTCTTCTTCCACGGGTGCTTCATCATCTTCAACATTCTCGAATAATGGGATAATGAAGTCTTCATCTTCATCGTCAAGAGACAGTGAGTTCAAGAACTCATCTCTACATCTCCTACTCTGTTTCTTTAGAAGGTCTTCATCTAGTTCCACGTCGATCGTGTCAAAGTCCAACACACCTTCCATCTTCAAGGCTCCAACTCGTATCTCCCTTGGACTCGAATTCGTATCTCCTTCACAGTAAAAACCCTAGAATTATCGCAGTAGAAAGAGAGGTTTTTCCAGCTCGATTAACCCTTCTTCATTTAATGATGTTCTCGTCATCTTCCAATTAAGCGTTAGTAGCCACATCATCTCGATTACCGGCTATTAAATGAGTTACCGGCAGAAAAGGTCAATCGGGTCAATAAATGCCGGTAATTCAGGCTTTTGTGTCAAAAAAAATTAGTTTGGGACTTTCGTGTCAATTGGATGAAAATATCGGGGCTTTACTGTATATATTCTTATTAATTATATTAAGAGTAAATCACAGAACTGGTCCCTATAGTATACACAAATTCGCATTTTCACTTCAAGTTTCAAAAATTTAGCACTCATGGTGTCATTTTCTTTAACCACTGGTCCTTATCATTAACACCTTTAGGATTTAACAGTTATGTCATAGTAAAATGACCATTTTACCATCAACTCTCGTTTTAATATTTTTTGTTTCTTTCTTATTTTCTTATTTATTAATTTGTTAATTCTCCATCACCCAACCACCACTTACCCCACCCTCCCCGTTGAAGTCGCCAGTGTACTCCATTCATTTTTTTCCAGCCGACTTTTTTGGTCATTTATATCAAAATATATTACAATAAAATATTTATCTGGTTTCGCATTTACTGGGAAGCTTAATTTGTCAATGTGATTTATGGGATAAACCTAATGTAACCTTGTCTAGCCTGATTATTTCCATTAAAATTAGCGTTTTAATTTTTGAAACAAGAGGTTGCATACTTTAGGATTTGATATGCTCAATGAACATTAACAGTAAATTTGGGAATTTAGCTCTTTAGTCTCTTAGATGGAAATAATAAATCTGCAGGTATTAGTAATGTAACTCTTATATGATCGGAAAATGTGTAGAAAAACAGAGGAAATAACAATTTCATTAAAATACACAACAAGTTTCACTGCTTTGGTTGGGTAAAATTTTCAAAACTCTTACACATTACACTAATGTAATATACTGAAATGACAGTGTGATGCTATAATCCACAAATAAATAAATGTGTTGCTATTACTTGCATTTAGCCCTCTTATTAAAATTCTAAACTAAATTGTATCAATGCACCATGATGTCTTTGTTATTTCAGTTTTATTAGTACCGATGCTATTGACCCCTTTGAAGATGGACACATTCATGTTATTTGCACATATAAGATTTCTGTTTTTTTTTTTTTTTGGGTGGATCAAAATTTTGTTACAAATGTCTTATTTCTAGCCTAATACACATCAATGGAGGTATAAAAGGAGCCATTTGGAAACTACTTATCATCTAACAAACTTTCCTTTTTTTCTTTTCTGATAATGTAGTTTAATAATTATTTTTAACCAACAATAAAATACTTGGAAAAAGAAACAATAGAAATGTAAAACACCGTGATCTTTCTGGAAATATTTACTAGAGATCTAGCCCCAAATTGCAAAACTCCTAACCGAAATAAAAGCTTAAGTTCTGCAACAAACTCTCAGAAACAAACCATTTGGCTGTCAACAAACGTGACCAAAGAAATCAAGATCATAAAATCAAAATTATAATCAATACGTAAAAGAATCGGTATTGAGAAAATTTATGATTTCGGTTTTGGATTTCGTTTTTCCAAAGCTTATTATATGTTTGATGCTGTATTGTTTGGATGCTAATTTGGTATATGTAAATTATCTTTGCTTGAGGATGTCACATAATTAAAATCATTAAAAATAAAAAATAAAAAAGATAGCATGTTATTTCTGTGAGATGAAAACTGTTACAATGTGAAGAGAATTATAAGTAATAAATTCTTTGTTATCAAGTTATATTTTATATCGTCAATGACGAATTCTTTGTTACTTTTTCAGTAATAAATTTGAAAATTAAAATCTTGATACTCTAATTAAAATCTTGATACTCTATTGATAGTTTTACGACGACATCTAATATATAATTTTTTTTGATTGATATTGAATTAATGACATAATAAACCTTTTTCATTTACTTATGGCTAATTAATAGTTTCTAATTACTAAATTTTATTCTTTTTATATTTATAAGACAAACAAAATTTCATATAAAAGATATACCTTTAATTTCTAATGAAAAGACCAGAAATAAATAAAAAGTAAGGATACCAAACCCCCTACAACGCCTAAACATCTAATACAAAACATTCTTGATGCTTTTGCTTTTTTCCGTGTTGATGCTTTAGCTTTTCTCACTTTAAATACCCTTCTGAGTATGTTATTCTCAAAAGTTTTAGACTTTCATAGAAGAAGATTGCAAGAACAAAACAAAGGTCCAGGTACTCTCCTTTCTATGCAATCCATTGTTTTTTATGCATGTTTTTCAAATTGAACCTGGATTGTGACTTTCGCACTCGATGATTCATAAGATATAATATTGGTAGTAAATGATGATGAGAGAGATATGTTGAAATGACTACAAAATTATTTTAATTTGGAATTATTTGATCTGCTAAGTTGAAAAACTCAAGCTAATAACAAATTGGTCATGCTAATTAGTTATAAAAAATAACGAACTCAATATATCTTTTTTCTTTTATAAAGATTTTCAAACATTTACTACCAAACTAAATTGAGACAAAATTGAATATTATTCTTTGCAAGTACCCTTAACTTCTGTTCCTATCATCATGTTTAAAGTTGCCACAAGTTTATCTTCAATTTCATTTTAGATTATGAGAACGTCTATTTTTACCAGTTACATCATAGTCTAGGGGCCAAAGCTAATACAATTTGACTTGACTAAAGGAATTGAGGATGGATATAGTTTGTTGCTGGATTATAGCAGGTCTTCCGTATCCGAAAATCAACATATAAATTTAAAGCACTGATTTCTAAAGTATCCTAGCTTTTACAATTCATAGTATTTTAAATAAGTAGTGTGTGTGTATTAAAACCTATTTTCCCAAATGAGGAGGAGATCTTAAATACAAATGATGTCAATCAACTTCTTCCATGTTTATAATTTCATCCGTGATTTTATAATTATCAAGAGAAGATTTGGATAATACAAAATAAAAAACTTTATTTTAAAGTAATATGAAAAAAGTGTGTTGGTTTTTGTTCTAATTCAATGACAAAGTGATGACCAATCCGGTCTAATATTATTAGTATATTATCTTATATAACCGTTTAAGAAATGTCATTTTTAATGATTATTAAACTTTAATAACCAAATTAAAAATCATATCATTTACATTAACTTTTTTTTTTTAAGTAAAGATGGGTGTAAAGGACAAATGAGGAAAACATTAACAAATTTATAGAGGAAAGTCATAAAAAAAATATATTTTTTTTTCAATTTCATCTTTGATTAATTCTTTTTAGTTACATGCATGTTTCTTAGCAAAAGGTTAAATCTCTTAACAAAAATTTAGATGTGGTTGCAAATCACGAGGATTTATAATAATAGAGTTATCTAAACTTAATTATAAGTGTAAAATTGAAGAATATGACATTAAATAATAAGTTCAAGGGCCAATTTTGTTAATAGTGCAAAGATTTAAATTTTCTAGGTGACATACAATAAGGTTTTGAGTTCTAGTTTTTGTTTTCAATCCCTCTAAAACTCTTATTTATGGTACATAAAGAAAACTAATTCGTGGTGATCATTGTTGAATCATTTTTTACAATTCTTCCCAATTATTTTTTTTACCATCCTCATGTTCCAAAACATTAAGAATAATAATATAAAATTTCTTTAATGTTGGCACAAAGTTGATATATTCTAAAATTCATATTTTGATTTACTAAATGTAGTTTTCTACACATTACATCATCTAATGAAATGAATCAATGATGCATGTAATTGCTATATCACCATCTTTAAAATCATCATATTTTAATTTTCTTATAATTAATCAATCAAAAACCATTTTGTTGATTTCTTTTTTTTTTTTTTTTTTTTTTTTTTTTGTGAATAAGAAATATCACTAACTTCTAGCAAGATTTTTGTTGATTTCTATTACTATCATGGTCCTTCAAATTCTTAAAACTTTATCTTTAAGTTCATTTCAGATTAATTATGAGATAAAACTTTTTGATCATTGGTCCTTACTCAATGCAATGAATTTAGGGTACATTCAATTGCTCTTCCGTTATTAGTTTCCATTGAGATGTGTTTGATCAATTGTTGGCTACTATGCAGGTGCTATCAAAAGAATATCCTACAATGGAAACTGCTAATGAAATCATGAGAGAGGTTGTTCCGATCCTCATGGTTCCCATTAATAGATAGCTACGCTACCTCATTTTATGCCCAATATATATGATGGACATGGTTATCAAAATGACGGAATTAAATGTTGTAAAAGACGGTGTTGAGGAGAAAATGAGGCAGAACATTAGCAACAATCTTGAGGTTCCTGTCCAAGTCGGGGGTTGGTTGGGTGATGTAGGAAAGATCAACGCAAAAGTGGAAAATGTTTCTCGTAACACTGGCAATTGTTTTAATCTAAAGATTAGATACAGGGCAGGAAGGAATGTCTTTGAGATAAATGAGGAGATCGACAGTGTCATGAGACGATACAAAGAGATCAACTAGGCTGATCATTGAATTCCTCCGGGAAGGGTTGATTCCATGAAGGCATCCACCTCGACACCCTCATCCGAACACAATGACTTCCAATCAAGAGAGGTTACTTTTACAGAAACACTCAAAGCACTCGGAGTGAATCACAAAGCCCACATGATAGCCTTATGTGGGATGGGCGGAGTAGGGAAGACAACAATGATGCAAAGGCTGAAGAAGGTTGCCGAAGAAAAGAAAATGTTTAACTTTATTATTGAGGTGGTGATAGGGGAAAAGACAGACCCTATTTCCATTTAGGAAACTATAGCATATTACCTTAATGTAGACCTCGGCGAAAAAAATAGTTCGGTAAGAGCTGATAAGCTTCGTCGAGGGTTCAAGGCCAAATCAGATGGAGGTAAGAATAAGTTCCTCATAGTATTGGATGATGTACGACAGACTGTTGATCTCGAAGATATTGGTTTAAGTCCTTTGCCAAATCAAGGTGTCGACTTCAAGGTCCTGTTAACATCACGAGACAGACATGTTTGCACTATGATGGGGGTTGAAGGTAATTTGATTCTCCATGTGGGACTTCTAATAGATTCAGAAGCACAAAGATTATTCTGGCAGTTTGTAGAAACATCTGATCATGAGCTCCATAAGATAGGAGAAGATATTGTAAGGAAGTGTTGCGGACTACCCATTGCCATCAAAACCATGGCGTGTACTCTGAGAGATAAAAGAAAGGATGCATTGTCTCATTTAGAGCACCATGACATTGACAATGTTGTGTCTAAAGTTTTTAAAACGAGCTACGACAACCTCCAAGATGAGGAGACTGAATCCACTTTTTTGCTTTGTGGATTGTTTCCGGATGATTTCAATATTCCTACTGAGGAGTTGGTGAAGTATGGATGGGGATTGAAATTCTTTAAAAAAGTGTATACCATAGGAGAAGCAAGAATCAGACTCAACACATGCATTGAGCGGCTCATCCATACAAATTTGTTGCTTGAAAGTGATGATGTTAGATGCGTCAAGATGCACAATTTGGTCCGTTCTTTTGTTTTAGGTATGTATTATGAAGTGGGGCATGCTTCAATCGTCAACCATGGTAATACACTAGAGTTTCATGCGGATGATACAAATGACTCTTGTAAAAGACTTTCATTAACATGCAAGAGTATGTCCGAATTTTCTAGAGAACTCAAATTTCCAAACCTAACCATTTTGAAACTTATAGATGGAGATAAGTCGTTGAGGTTCCCCCAAGACTTCTATAAAGAAATGGGAAAGCTCCAGGTTATATCCTATGATAAAATGAAATATCCATTGCTTCCTTCATCCCCTGAATACTTCGCCAACCTTCGAGTGTTTCATCTCCATCAATGCTCCTTAAGGATGTTTGATTGCTCTTGTATTGGAAATTTGTCGAGTCCAGAAGTGCTCAGCTTTGCTGATTCTGACATTGACCGGTTACCTTCCATAATCGGAAATTTGAAGAAGCTAAGGCTACTGGATTTGTCAAATTGTTATGGTATTTGTATAGATAATGGTGTCTTAAAAAATTGGTTAAACTTGAAGAGCTCTATATGAGAGTGGTTGATCGAGATCGAAAGGCGATTAGTCTCACAGATGATAACTGCAATGAGATGGCAGAGCGTTCAAAAGATCTTTCTGCATTAGAACTTGAGTTCTATGATAACAATGTTCAACCGAAGAATACGTCATTTGAGAAGCTCCAAAGATTCCAGATCTCAGTGGGGCGCTATTTATATGGAGATTCCATAAAGAGCAGGCACTCGTATGAAAACACATTGCAGTTGGTTATTGACAAAGGTGAATTATTAGAATCTCGAATGAACATGTTGTTTAAGAAAACAGAGGTACTATGTTTAAGTGTGGGAGATATGAACGATCTTGAAGATGTTGAGGTTAAGTCCTCCTCACAACCTCTTCAGTCCTCTACATTCTACAATTTAAGAGTCCTTGTCGTTTCAGAGTGTGCAGAGTTGAAACACCTCTTTACACTTGGTGTTGCAAGAACTTTAAAAAAGCTTGAGCATCTTGAAGTTTATGAATGTCATAATATGGAAGAAGTCAGATGCACCGGGGGTAGTGAAGAAGAGACAATTACGTTCCCCAAGCTGAAGTTTTTATCTTTGTGTGGGCTACCAAAGCTATCAGGTTTGTGCGATCATGTCAAAATAATTGTGCTACCACAACTCATGGAGTTGAAACTTGACGGCATTCCAGGTTTCACAAGCATATATCCCGTGAAAAAGTCTGAAACATCTAGTTTGTTGAAGGAAGAGGTAAATATATATTTTTAATGCTAATATATTTCAAAGGATCTTTTCAGTTAAATTTTTCAAAATATATTGTAATTTGATTGTGTGGGGTATTATTGTTAGATGGGACTATTACTAAATGATTATCATGCAGGTTCTGATTCCCAAGTTAGAGAAACTGCATGTTAGTAGTATGTGGAATCTGAAAGAGATATGGCCTTGTGAATTTAGTACGAGTGAGGAAGTTAAGTTGAGAGAGATTGATGTGAGAAATTGTGATAAGCTTGTGACTCTATTTCCATGCAATCCCTTGTTTACGTTGCGTAATCTTGAAGAGCTTAAAATCGAGAACTGTGGTTCCATTGAATTGTTATTCAACATCAACTTGGATTGTGCTAGTGCAATTGGAGAAGAAAACAATAGCAGCAACTTAAGAAGCATCAAAGTGGAGAATTCTGAGAAGCTAAGAGAGGTGTGGAGGATAAAAGGTGCAGATAACTCTCATCCCCTTGTGCGTGGCTTTCAAGCTGTTGAAAGCATAAGCATTCAAGGATGTGAAAGTTTTAGAAATGTTTTCACACCTACCGCCACCAATTTGGATCTGGGGGCACTTTTGGTGATTTCAATAGAAAACTGCGGAGAAAACACAGGAAATGACGAATCGGAAGAGAATATCCAAGAGCAAGAGCAGGTATGGATTTCAATTTCACTTTCTTACTTAATTAATAATTAAGCTCCTGCTTTTTGAATAAAAAAGGGACAAACCATTTCTTGACCTGATGTAAAAATACAAGTCATGTATAAGAGTGACCAACTTTTTTATTTATAAAATGACTACAAACATGTTTTTTTCATTAGAGATCATGTATAAATGTGAATAATTTTTCGTCACCTAACTTTAGTTGATAAATCATTATAAATGTCACTAATTACTTTTTAGTAAAAAATAACAAATTTAATAAATTATTAACTAAAAACATCAACTAAAAAATCCCACAACCCGAAATAATTTAAAATAAAAGGACTTGACATTTAATACAAACAATTTTTTTTTCTAAACATGATTTGGACCAAATATCACCAACAACTCAAGTTTTGAATCGATTCAGCTTAAAACTTGACCAACATAATTAGATAGATGAGAGTTGAAGTTAAAGTACTTATATAAATTCCTTTCATCTTTTTTCTTGATCTTGATAGCAAGTTGAATGATTTTCTTCTTCAAAATTGATAAAAAAAATCTACATTATAGAGAGACTAGCTTGAAAAAAAATGATCTAGGTGGGTCTTGGGTCTGGTAGATTAATATGGAAGGGAGAGCGGATTTCAAAGACACAAACGCATCTTGATTTTAAATTTTCTTTTGATGTCTTGCTCATATTTGTTCCAATTGTTTTTTTCTTCCCATTTATTGTGGAGATAAGAAAAGGAAGGTGGCGAGTGGATTGTTGGTGGATACTATCGGTTCCATAGGATGTGGGGTGGAAGGGGTTTGATTTATAGAGGAGGTGGCTTGGGGCATCTGACCGTAGGGAAATGAGATGGTTTATGGTGCGCCCATTTTCATTTATATAAACCATGCAAGGGGTAAATGATTATTTTATACATATTTAACGGTCCTCTTTTAATGATGAAAGTCTCACAAACCAAAACCACAATGAAACCTTGTCATAAGCATGTCTTTTTTTGTTTCAATTTTTAGGAACAAGGACCACTTTTTAAAAAGCTAATCATAGTGAGCATTTTTACAATTTACTCTATTGCTTTTTGGTTGTGATGTCCAAGATCGAGTCCATTCATCCTCTTTTTCTAGAAATTTTAGTAAGGGGTACCAATGTTAGCTTCTTATTCTTAACCGATCAAAAAGGGCAATAGCTTAAACGCATAGGGACTATTGTTTACTCTATTGTTTTTTAATTGGTCAAAAAGGTTGTATTGAAACAGTTCAGTGACTTGGATGGGAAGATAAATTTAGTTAACTTAACCCTTTAATTGACTAGTGTTACTTGTTAGCTCAATTTCAAGTCAACTCCATCTCTTATTTGAAAATAATCCACATCTTAAATAAAATATATTTTCTTGTTGCATAGGAGCCTGTAACATCTTTAATAAATTATTTGAAGGTGAAAATCCAACTATTTTTAATCTGTTGATGTTATAGATTCAAAACGATAATAGAGAAACCTCGCACACCAACAACGGATTCAAAAGTTTTCTTGATTGAAATGTAAAGACAAGGATAGAATGATAGCAATTAGAGAAGATAAGGGTGTCCTATAAGACAATCAGACCAAATTATGCAATACCTCATACATACCTCCCCACTACCTTAAATACCCCGACAACAATAACAACTTATGATTAATTCCTAAAATACCAGTGGTCCATTAATTGGTTTGTAGTGTTCAAATGGTCCGGTGTGTTCCCATCTTCTAATGACCTTGTTTTGTTCTTTCTTCTTTTGTACGTAATAAATTATTAAATTATAGCAATGGGTGCATGGCATTAACCTACCCCAAAGATTGACCTTGTGTTCAAGGTCAAATTCGAGAAAATTACCATGAATGTTATCCAAAATTTTTTTTCGTGTTCAAGTGGTTTGTTGTGGTCCTATATTCTAATGGTCATGTCTTGTTCTCACTTCTTTTATATGTAATAAATTGTATTAGTGGGTTCATGACATTACCCCACCCCAACCTTGTCCTCAAGGTCAAATTCAGGAAATGTACCATGAATGTTATCCAAATCTTCCCAAGTGGAGTTGAAGTCGAGAATGCATTCCCATTTAACCAAAACCTCAGAGTCAAATGCCAACATATTACTCACCCCTAATGGAGTATTCAACTCCAATTTTAGTTGGAACTCTATAGTGAACAAAGGAGCTATCACTTGGTTGCCAATGGCCTTTCGTAACTGAAATACTTATATAATCTTAGTTGTGTTCGATAATTTGTAACTTATAAGCCACATCACATATCCTTTCGGTGATAAAAACCCAACAAAAATGAGCAACTAATTTTTTAAATGGTCATTGATAGTTGCCTCTACAATTGTAGTTTCAAGTACAACCAATCTCCTTCTGAAAAGTCCACTTATTTCTGCTTCTTAGTAACACTTGTCTTCATTTTCTATGAGTATGAAAGGTCATGTTGTGCCAAAATTCTGCCCAGGACAACCATTTGAACCAAGTTATTAGGTTTCCTTGAATAAAGCAGCAAAGGTATACTTCCACGACCTTGTTGACAATTTTCGTCTGTGTGACATCCTCAATTTCATGGCTAGAAAAGACCAATTTGTTTCTGCTTATTTAAAAATCAGAGTATCCTTTTTCGAAGAATAATATTGCGGAATTTGTTCCCAGAAAACATGATAATGATATTATCAAAGCATTTCCGAAGAAATATATTTTATTTATATTAAAATATTGGTATGTCATTGTTAATACAAAAACATAAGCATAATGAAATATTACAAGCCTTACATTAATTAAACTAGTGGCTTAATACTCCTTGAATTTCTCAGCATAATGTAAGTGGGTCAAGTTGGGAAACCTGGTGAGTACATAGGGATTTTAATCCCACAATGTGATAATAACCTATATCCGAAACCTGCAAATCCAACTATTGTCATTAACACAAATATATCATATCTCTAAAACAGTTTATCCGATCCCGTCGATTCCCACGTATTGATCCTATACAACGATCTTACAAGATCTAGCCTAAAGGATCAATATGAACACCAAACTGATAAGCTGCTTCGGAAATTCCATGGTAGCAAACGAGGATTAACAAATGAGGGGAATGGAATAAGTTTCACCACGAACCTCCATTCAATAGATAATAAGACAATTGAGTCAGGGGTGGTTATCTAGATAACTATCCCTAGTAGTGGTCTAACACCGTGAGGTATTTTACTCCCATACTCACCCTATCCGGAAATACAACATCAGATAGACATACCTGGTAGTGGTCTATTATTGGCACACTCTATTAGACAGTCTACGAAGTTCCCTCAATTACTTCGTGAAAGGAAACGCTGACACATAAAGCTCGTCCAATCACTTCATAAAAGAAATGATGACTCCAAAGCTCTTCAAAATAAAATGTATGGGGAAATACTAATAAAGTACTCCCATACGCTCATGTACCCCGACAAGCAATAGTGCCAAAAAAGGACTTTATAATGACAGTACTTCTAGCACATTATAGTACCCTAGTATGATTAGCACTCGTAACCCATAACATAATAATACCTCGGTACAAGTAGCACCTGAAATACAGAGCTTTGAAAAAAGACTTGGTACTTAGAAAGTACTTTTGTACGTAGGACATACTCCATCGATCATCAATTTCCTCGAACAGAGTTTCTACTCTCTATTCCGATCACACACGTACCCTTAATAAGATACTACCCAATATCCAAACTTAATTAAACTAAGAATCTCTTTTAAGTCTTGTTTCATTATTAGGAAATCCTACTATTTCATTACTAAGCAAGCCTACAATGCTTATAATCAACTTTCAATACTAACTTTCTTTCGGCAACACTATCCTAATTTTGTGTAATATTTTATACAGAGTATTAAGTATTGACATACATTTTTCTTCTCATTTAAAATACTTCTATTATTATTATCATGTAAATAGATAGAACCATGTCTGGTTCGCATAAGGTATATCATCAAATATACATATAGCACATATTTCCAGATAATAACCATATAACTTTATTAATACTTGTATTAAAATCATTTTCATGAAAGGGACTATGCACTCACTTGTTAAAGTGACGACTTGAAATTCGGACAGCGCTTCGCTTCTAACAATCGTCTTTTCCTTCCACGAAACCTAACATTATTAGTGCTAAGTTTTTAGTCTAATATTTATTGTGACTAATTATTAGTCTAGATTCATCATTAAATCAAAGTCTACTTTCATAATCTATCAAGTAAGGAACAACCATGTAGGATCATATCGGAGGTACGGTTTGTTTGGTATACGAAGTATACTATTTGGAAATCTCACTTTAAATACCTTACTAAATCACAACCTAAACATCATCCCCGTAAGTAGATCAATCAATATAACGACTTGGAATCACTTATAAATCTTGTTTATAGGTTGATAATAAAGATAATGAAGTTAAACATAAGTTATACTTAAAGAAGGGTAAACATAACTCACTTACAAAGGAGTTTAGCGAGGAACCGGGCTCTGCATGGCAGAACTTCTGAGCTGAAAGCTCTTCTTCTCAGGGCTTTCCGGTGCTCCGGGACTCACTTCTAACACATAGGAGGTTCTAGGGGGAAGAATAGAAGGTTTGGGTATGTTTAGGAGAGAGTTGGATGAGAATACGTGAGAAAAATGAGTGAAAACGCCTTCTATTTTTAGGCTGCAAGCAGCCGCGAACGTTGGGCGTACGCATTGGTACACTGGGCGTAATGGCCAAAACAGCAGTACGCTAGGCATACTTTGAGTTACGCTAGGTGTACTCCGTCCGGTGTCACAATCTCGTTCCAAGCCGTGGGTAGGAAGGGACGTCCGAGATCTTGCCACATGTTACTCGTTGGTTACTCTAAAAAAGTAATAATCTTCTAAAATCCGTAAATTTCTCATACGAGCTCTGTTTTTACGTTCTTTATATCCATGTGTAGGTATCAAGGGGATCTACAAGTTTTGTTTAGAATCTATCGGCTAATTTTGATTTATTTTTAAAGTTATATTTTAACAGGATTAGACAGTTAAAGTCCATTAAAAATCCATAACTTTGTCATCCGACGTCCGTTTTCGACTGTCTTTATATCATTGATCTCCTATTAATGATATCTTCAATTCTCATTTAGTCATCAATCATCATAATTTAGTCACCCAATATCATAAATTTTACTAATCGGGGATTGTGTTTTTTAAAAAATTTGACTGTCTGACTTTTTTACTGGCTTAGACTGCCTAGGGCCGCTTTATAGTGGCCCAAGATCGACTCTGTCTATCTGGACCAACTAGCATTAATCGTAGACAGTAAGGGGCCGCCTACGCTGATTTTTACTACACTGATAAAAAAAAACTTTTTTTTAATCTCCGAATTTAAAGTAAAGTTATCCATTTTGCTATTTTAGTTTGTTGACAAAAGAACTTTTAAAAAATATTGTTGTTAAAAGGTAGCTTTTAAAAAAAATCGAAGTTTTTATAAAATTTAAGATATATAATTTTTTTTGTCTAAATTTGAAATTCTTTTAAAGGTTTTTTATATAAAAGTTTTTATACTATTTTACAAGTTTGCAAGTTTTTGAAAAAAATAATAATATTGTAATGGTTATGATTCAAAATGTTTATGATGCTTAAGTCTTATAATCTAAAAATATTATGATTTTAAAAAAAAGTAAAAATAATAAAAATATATGGACAATTTTGCAATTATAACTCTATTGTATTTTAATTGAACAACTTGATGCTCTGTTTTCTTTAGTAAGAGAAACCAATGTCATGAGATTCTTATTGTTAACCAATCGAAAAGGGCGATACTTAAAAAAGCATGGAAATAGTTTGGTGACTTAGATGGACAGATAAATTTAGTTATATTAACCCTTTAAATCTTAATTAACTACTGTTGATTATTAACTCAATTTTAAGCCAAACTCCATCTCTTGTTTGAAAAGAATCCACATCTTAATTGAAATATATTTTACTGTTGCATAGGAGCCTATAACATCTTCTAATGATTTATTTGAAGGTGAAAGGTCCAACTATTTTTAATCTGTTGACAATTTCAATAATTTGCAAATGTTTCTTGAAAAATTGCCTAAAATCAGAACAATATTATTCAAATCCAAAATTATAAGAGAGAATTGTGAATGGGTGTGGAATTATAAATCATTAAAACAATTCAGTACTCTCGTTAGTAATTACATTTCTTGTTGGGATATATGTGTGCAGAGTCAGGAAGAGACATTACAAGAAGTCACTGATACTAATATTTCTAGTGTTGTATTCCCATCTGGTCTCCTACACTCTTTTCATAACCTCCGTATGCTTACATTGGATAATTATGAAGGAGTGGAGGTGGTGTTTGAGATAGAGAGTGAGAGTCCAACAAGTAGAGAATTGGTAACAACTCACCATAACCAACAACAACCTATTATACTTCCCAACCTCCAGGAATTAGTTCTATGGGAAATGGACAACATGAGTCATGTGTGGAAGTGCAAGAATTGGAATAAATTCTTCACTCTTCCAAAACAACAATCAGAATCCCCATTCCACAACCTCACAACCATAACTATTATGTTTTGCAGAAGCATTAAGAACTTGTTTTCGCCTCTCATGGCAGAACTTTTTTCCAACCTAAAGAAAGTCCATATAGAGTTTTGTGATGATATTGAAGAGGTTGTTTCAAACAGAGACGATGAGGATAAAGAAACAACTACATTTACATCTACCCACACAAGGACCATCTTGATAGTCTCTATCTAAATGAACTGGACAATCTGAAGTGTATTGGTGGAGGTGGTGCCAAGGAAGGGAGTAATGAAATATCTTTGAACAATACCACTGCAACTACCGATCAATTTGAGGTATGTTTGTACATATTAGGTTTGCCATTATGTGAAATCCTCTGTTGTTTATGTAACCAAGCATCTGAGATTATTTTTCCATTTTCATAATTGTGTTTATTTTGGACAATATTTCCTTTTATAGTTATAATTCCAACCAGTTATATTTTCAAGTCTTGATATACGTAATAATGCCTTTTATACATACTATAGTACTATACTAAGATAATAATTACCTAAAGGATAAATGCCATGCCATGACAGATAATATGTTATATATATAATCTTTAAACAATCAAATTTATTTTTCAACAAAAAAAGGTATTACCCAAACAGGTAATAGTTTTTAAAATGAAATTTCACAAAGTAAATAAGCTAACCATAAACCATTACAAACCACAAAGTAAATTAGCCATCATTATTTCAACATACAGAAAAAAACACACAAAGTTAAGTCAACAAAAATCTGTCTTGGGGTTAATTCCACTAATCCCAGCATTGTACATACTACACTGTCAGCATGGATGACAAGTTGACCACAAATCCTAGCATGTCTATGATCAAAGTGCTAAACCCACAAATCCTGCATTAATTGTAGATGTATTTAAACTAAAAGAACTTAAAAACACACAAGTAACTTTTTCATACCGGATGCTAAATACAATAATGACAAGAATCGAACCAAATCTTGAAAGACAAAGGTTAGTCATTAACACATTATGACCAATTCATCACATCATGAAAACATCATTTAGTTCTCACATTATAACCAATTTAATGGTTACAGCTCCTACGACTAAAGGCTAGTAATTAAAATGTGAGCGCCACCAAAGGGCTTCTAGCCCAGCGGGGTACCGGGTGTTGCCCTCCCTTCTAGAGGTTGAGGGTTCAAGTCTCATTGGAGACATAGTTGGTATTAAGAGTAGTTTAGGAGTAGTGTAGATTTGGAGTTCTAAAAAAAATAAATAAATAAATGTGAGGGCCGTGCACGTAACACATAACTTGTTAACCTGTTGTAAACTACAGTAATGATGTAAGAGTCAGAAACTTACCCGGTCATATATATGTGCTCTAATCTAAATAGGAGTTGTAGGATAGAATTCAATAATTTATAATATTACCCAAAACTAATTTTTCTAATCATATTTTGTAAACATATGCTTTTTTGATTTCATTGAATTTGCATACCTATATTTTAGTTTGTATACTAGTATATCTTTTATTGTCTCTTCAATAAATCGTGACATTAATTATTAAAAAAAAAAAAAAAAAAAAAAAAAAAAAGAACACCAAAACTACATTTTTGATGTGGAGAGTAATCATGTCATTTAGTATAATAAAAAACCTAGATTTTGAATTTAATTTCCTATACAAAGGTTGTGTCTATAGTTTAATTTTACATTAAACTCTTCTATGTGCTGCATTTGACTGAAGCAGGTGTTGTTTCTTGGAGCTTATGCCAATGCTCTAGAGATATAAGTATACAAAACTGCCATGCATTGTCAATTGTGATTCCATGTTATGCAGCAGGACAAATGCAAAAGCTTCAAGTGCTGAGAATATGGTCTTGTCATGGGATGAAGGAGGTATTTGAAACTCAATTAGGGATGAACAACATCAACAAGAGTGGTTGTGAGGAAGGAATTCCAAGAGTAAATAACAATGTTATTATGCTTCCTAATCTAAAGATATTAAGTATTGGAAATTGTGGGGGTTTGGAGCATATATTCACATTCTCTGCACTTGAAAGCCTGAGACAGCTCCAAGAGTTAACGTAAGGGTTGCTACAGTATGAAAGTGATTGTGAAGAAGGAAGAAGATGCATCATCATCATCATCATCATCATCATCTTCTAAGAAGGTTGTGGTCTTTCCTCGTCTAAAGTCCATTGAACTAAGTTATCTACCTGAGCTGGAGTGTTTCTTCTTGGGGATGAACGAGTTCAGATTCCCTTCATTGGAGAAGGTTACCATCAAGAAATGCCCCTAAATGAGAGTGTTTGCACCTGGTGGGTCCACAGCTCCCCAACTCAAGTATATGCACACAGGATTAGGCAGACATACTCTTGATCAAGAATCTGGCCTTAACTTTCATCAGGTATATATATTTCTTTAATTGGTATCATCTAATTAAGAAAGATATCATGCCAAGTAAATTTACTTAAAACACATTCACACTAGTTTCGGTCTAAGTTTATGTTGTCACTTGGAATCAAACTTTTTCCATTTTGAAAAAGGGAAAAGCGTCCAATATAACTTTCTTTATTAGCTCCAAAATAGTAACCATATAGATAATCTTTGGTTGGACTTATAAGTATCATCGTGACTAGACATTATAGTCTCTTGCATTTTATTAAAATTAGTACTATATATATATATATATATATATATATATATATATATATATATATATATATATATACTAGCCGTTACCCGCGCACAGCGGCGAGGACAAATAGCTTCTTTCAACGATATTTTTTTTAAAAAAAATGTTATGTTCCAAAAGAAAGTTCATGTCGTGGGTGAGAGGAAGGGCGGTAGTCATGATAGTGGTTGGTTGAAGGCGGAAGGAGGCAGAGCGGCTGTGGTGGTGGTGGTTATACTGTCTTGGTTACTGGTTAGGGTTCTTCGAGAGAGTGTGCGTATATTTCTTACTTTGAAGGGATTACAAAGATAGATATTATGAGATGACTTGTTACCCATGTGAGAGAAGAGATCCTCTATAAATTGTTGACATTGACCGCTTCAAATGGCAGAAGTGTTGAGATTGACGGGTTCAATTTGCAAATGAATTCTTCTATTAATTTGATACGAGATTTTTAGGGGATAAAGGATAGGGTTAAAGTTTTAGTATTCTTATATTATAAATGGGTTGTACTTCAAGCTTAATAGTTTGGACGTCTTAAAAAAATAATATTATTATATTCAATCTATTTATAAAAATAGTTAGATTTCTTTTATAAGTAGTAAAGATAAAGATATATATATATATATATATATATATATATATATATATATATATATATATATATATATATATGACATTTCAAATGTTTTTGTTTGACACATATATGCCTCTGGCTGACGTTTTCTTTATTGGGCTTGCAGACCCCATCCCTGAGTTCAAACTCGTACCCTGATACTTCAGATGGGATGCCTTGGCCTTTTCATAACTTGATCGAATTAGGTGTGAAACATAATTCTGTTGTTAAAAAGATTATTCCATCCAGTGAGTTGTTGCAACTGCAAAAGCTGGAAAAGATTCATGTTGAGAGATGTTCTAAGGTGGATGTGGTATTTGAAACTGCATTGGAAGAAGCAGGGAGAAATAAAAATAGTAATAGTAGTAGTGGACATGGAAGTGGAAGTGGAAGTGGTTTTGATGAATCGTCACAAATTACTACTACTACTCTTGTCAATCTTCCAAACCTCAGAGAAATGAAGTTAGATGATCTAGATGGTCTGAGGTATATATGGAAGAGCAATCAGTGGACAGTATTTCAGTTTCCAAACCTAACAAGAGTTCATATTTATGACTGTAAAAGGTTAGAACATGTATTTACTAGTTCCATGGTTGGTAGTCTATTGCAACTCCAAGAGCTACACATATGGAACTGCAGTCAGATGGAGGTCGTGATTGTTAAGGATGCAGATGTTTCTGTAGATGAAGACATAGAGAAAGAATCTGATGGCAAGGAGAATACGGAGATACTTGTGTTACCTTGTCTAAAGTTCCTAGAACTTTACAACCTTAAATGTCTCAAGGGTTTTAGCTTGGGGAAGGAGAAATTTTCATTCCCATTATTGGATACTTTAATAATCAGAAGTTGCCCAACAATAACAACTTTCACCAAGGGAAATTCTGCTACTCCACAGCTAAAAGAAATTGAAACAAGTTTTGGCTCGTTTTATGCAGGGGAAGACATCAATTCTCTTATAAAGATCAAACAACAGGTAAACTAGATCTTTGTTGCTTTAATAATTCTTAAACTACATTTGGAAAGTTTCATGTAAGTTTTTTTGTTATTGTCAAAAGCCACAACCTATATTTCAACTGTATATTTATGTACTTTATGCAGGATTTCAAAAAAGACTGATTAATGTGAAGTAAATATTGAAGGTAAAATATGTTTTCATGTTTCCTGGTTGCCTATTAATTAATGGCGTTTTAGTTCATACTTTTTGGATGTATTCTTCATGATGATGTGAATGTTCTAATACCCCATTGATTGTTTGGTTGAATGTTGATGACCAAAGGACTATATGTTGGGAAGAATATTCAAGGAAAGAATTGTTCATCATATGAAGGGCATTAAATTAAGAAGAACATGGATGCTATGAAGATGTTGGGAAAATATATGAATCAAATAGCAAGCTACTCACTTATCTATGTTTGTTGGTTGAGGATGTTGATTTTAATATATCAAATTCATTGGTATCATTATATGGGTTTATTAGTAGTGTTAATGGGATAATGAGCAACTTAACCTAAATTATGTTGTTGGTAAATGTTGGACTCAAGTATGGAAAATTAGGAATAACTTGTGAAAAATATATGCAAAAGTAGGATTGAGATTTTCAATGAAAAAAATTATGAAACTATAGTACATAAATAAATGCAACTTATTGTTTGGGTATATTGGAAGCACATATCATGAAAGTAACTAGAAGTAGAATTTGTTCCCATCTTCATCTACTTATAGTTTCCATTTCTTACTTGGAAAAATCTAATTAAACTTTAGAGTTATTTCTATTTTTTACCAACCAAAGTTTTCATATAAAGGCCACAAGTAACTCTAAGTAAAGAGTTCATGGCTATATAAGAAAATGAGGTTGGTTAGCTCAGTAGCTTTGGAAAAGTAAATTCAAATGATTTGAATGAGTTTCAGACAGTGAACAACTACGTTTCAGTTGAGAAATACAAAAGAGGGTGGGTTTATAGTGTGTTTGGTAGTGCGCTTGTTTTCAAGCGTTTATGTATGCATTTATGGTGATTATTAGATCTGAGTTGTTTGGAACTCAAGAACACTAAAGGTGAAAAACGAATCTCATGGCTAATGTTATTAAAAGAGGTTAAGAATGTTGTTTCTATAATCATGATGTGTAGGGTCTATTTGGTATATATGGGATGCAAATAATAAGAATTTGGGTGATGCTGAGTTAGGATGAGGTTTGAGGTGAAAAGGGATGCAAATAGTATCAAGTCATTTTATAGTAATATGACAAAAAAATGTTTCTCTTTCGTCATATGCTAATTTAAATGCAAAATAACCAATTTAAATAGTCTACATTATGTTGTTTATCAATAGTGTTAATGGGATAATGAGTAAACCTAAATTATGTTGTTGGTAAATGTTGGACTCAAGTATGGAAAATTAGGAATGACTAGTGAAAAATATATGGAAAAGTAGAATTGAGATTTTCAATATAAAAATATTATGAAACTATAGTATATAAATAAATGCAACATACTATTTGGGTATCTTGGAAGCATATATCATGAAAGTAACTAGAAGCAGAGTTTGTTCCCATCTTCAACTAGTTACAGTTTCCATTTCTTACCTGCAAAAATCTGATTAAACTTTAGCGTTATTTCTATTTTTTACCAACCAAGAAAAGAAACCGATGTAAATTTTCATATAAAGGCCAAGGCCACAAGTAACTGTAAGTAAAGAGTTCATGGCTATATAAGAAAATGAGGTCAGCTCAGTAGCTTTGGAAAAGTAAATTCAAAAGATTTGAATGAGTTTCAGAATGAACACCTGGATTTCAGTATAGAAATACAAGTGTCGTATAACAATGTTAATCGACAAATTGGACAAAATTTTTATTAATAAATTTAACTAGTCAAGCTAAGCTCATCATGCATTGAGGATCAGGATTTGCATTATTACACAATTTTCATAGGTTTTGCTTCTCCGATTTGATGTATTAAGTTCTTCACCTAATTTTTTATATATCAAGTGCAAGTTGTTGAATCAGGCAGTTTGTTGTATAAAAGATGGAAGGTTTAATGTGTTTATGCATTTATGGTGATTATTGGATATTGAGTTGTTTGGAACGCAAGAACACTAAAGGTGAAAGATGAATCTATGGATAATGTTATTAAAAGAGGTTAAGAATGATGTTTCTATAACTATGATGTGTAGGATCTATTCGGTATATATGGGATAACTAATAGGAATTTGCTTGAGGTTGAGTTAGGACGATATTTTAGGTGAAAAGGGATGCAAATAGTGTCAAGTAAATTTAAAGTAAATATGAAAAAAAAATGTTTCTCATTTTAGCTTCTCTTCTTCCCATTACAAACATGAAATCACCTGCTTCAAAACCTAAAATAACTCTATGCGGTTCATCAAAACCCAAAATCAAATTGTTACAAATCATTTGAGACTGAATTAAACAATGGTCAAAACTACAATATTAAGGTGTCGTTTGTTTTTTCAAAGTGAAAATGTATGAAGTTTGCGGACCACCTCTGCAACCTTTTGTAGCAGAAGAGGGAGACCAAATGGTTGTAAAATGTAATAAAAAAATATGTTTGTTTCTTAACCTCTATAGACTGCTACAATAATTTAAAGTAATGTGTGAAAAAGTTTGAAGCAGAGGGTCAAGTGTCGTGCCACACAGCACATGTCCAATAGTTTTTAAGTTAGAAGTCTTCTAAAAAACAAACAGTTGCGAAGAGCCAAGTGTTGCGCGTGTGCTGCACGGCGCAACAATAAGTAGTTAGAAGTGGGTTTTTCTAGAAAAAAACAAACAAACAGCACCTAAGACTTCTTTGGCTGTAGAAATGGCTTTTGAAGTCTTCTAACACACACACACACAAAAAAAAAACTCAAAAAAAGATGACTTTTTTTAATTCACATATAAAATTCAATTTTGGCAAATGGGCATCTACCATTTTTTTCAAATCTAGTTTTGGGTCCCACTTTTTCGCAGATGGCCATATGTGAAAGTCCTCAAAACAGAACCATTTCATAGATTTTTGCAGATGTCATACGAAAATCATGGCTATTTTGGCCCAGTAATTAATTTTTTGCTTAAACTTTGGAAAATTGTTTTTCTTTTTCTCAAATAATAATTATTAACATGTCGTATCTAATGAGTAAAAGTAGAAAAAGTTTAGCTTAAAAAAGTAAGTGAGCAGCTTAAAATCACTTAAGGAAATATGCAGTAAATAGCAATATACTTTACCCTCACTACCACCATGTGTAATATACTTTACGATTTGAAGTATTTCTTGTATTACTAAAGAAATACTCGAAAGAGTGACTATTTATGCTTTAACCCAACTTAACTTGTTTCATGTTCATTGAGTTACTTAAACACAATACAATGTCAAAACCAATAATCATCAGCTTGATCTCTGTCTTTCATGAACCTTTTCCTCTCATCCAATGGGCTTGTTAATGTTGATAAATTGGCACATGACTAGGTGTACAAATCAACTAGATTTCCTATGTAGCGCCCGATTCCTGATACGTATCTTAAATATGAGTTTTTGCATTTTTGTACAGGGACTCGACAAGTTAGAGGCTCAAACTCGTCGAGTAGGGACGAGATTTGGACGCGGGTGGGCGAGCCTACTCGATGATTCGGAATTCCTGGGTCGACGAGTAGAGCTGTCTGGGTGAAACCCTAATTTCTGGGGTTTGCATCCTATTTAAACACTTTATCCAGCCCCAACCTCAGCCTCCATCACCTCCAGACCTTAGACATGAAACCCTAACCCATTGTGAGTCTTCTTGAATCATTATTGTGTGTTTTTTGTGATTTGAAGCATAAGAAGGAAGGAAAAACTTGAGGATTTAAGGAAGAAGCCGTAGATCCAGAGCTCAAGCTTCATCTCTAGTTCTTCTGAGGTAAAAAACTATACTTTGTCAATTTGCTTGCTAGATCTATTTATGGGGTGGTTTAGGGCCTTTTGGGAGCATAATATGAAACCATTCATGGATGCAAGCATGCTTTGGGGTAATGATTTCAGATTTGGAGCATTTGAGGGACCCAATGGCATAAAGGTGCCAACTTTATGGCCATGGGAGCCCTATGCGACTTATAAACCTCATTTTAGGGCGTTTTGAGCTAGAAAATCCATGCATGAACGTAAAGTTCATAACTTTACATGCTATACTGCCCAAGGAGGCCAGATCTACATTCTGGATACATAAAGCCTGACCAAAATCGACTGATAGAGTGCTACTTAGAGGGACTCAAAGGAGTTGTTCATATAACTTGGCAAGTCGGGTTGTGGTTCCCCAACCTTTCTAGTTCTGAGTGAACCCGTTAAGTCTAGGAGATGACTCAGCAGGTTGGACTTGGTTTTGGACTTGAAGATCATAGGGTTTGACGAGTTTAAGGATGAACTAGGCGAGTTGGTGTCAATGTCCCAACATCTATGGAGATGGACTCGGCAAGTTTAGGATGAACTCGACGAGTTCAAACGGATAAGTCTAGATTCTATCGTAAAAGGGAAACTCGAAGAGTTAGAGAGTGACTCGGCGAGTTGTATCGTGAGTTAAGAAGCCCTGAGTCATGGAGCTCGACGAGTTGATGGACCAACTCGGCGAGTCGAGTCAACCAGGATATTAACTTTGACTAGGAAGTTGACTTTGACCAGGATGTTGACCTTGACTTTGACTTTGACCTGAATTGACCTTTGAAAGGGTTATGATTATGAAAAAGTAATTAAGGAAGGTTGTTATGTGTAGGGGTTTCAGAGGAGTCGATCCCAGCACCAAGGGAAGTTCGGCTACTACACGACATTGAGGTGAGTTACCTTCCTATAGAAATGGATCTAAGGTCACAATGTCGGCCCACTAGTAGGAGATGTGTGTTAGATAACTGTCTTTGTGAGAATTGTCTGCTTTGCTGCTACATGTTATACTCTGTATTTTAAGGTATTCTGTTATACATGTTAGTAGTAGTAGGGGTGAAATAGGCCCGGATACAGGTTGAAAGATACTGAAGGGATAGTTAGTACCCTTGCATGCGTAGCAGTATGATTATGTTATGTGATTATGTGATAGTGGTAGTTAGGGGACTAGTCCCTAGGCTTGGTTGTGAATAACCGGCAGGGTAGGTTGGGCACCCCAGAACCGCTTGATATGGGTAGGTCGGGCACCCCAGAATGGCCCGACAGGGTAGGTCAAGCACCCTAGAACTACTTGACATGGGTAGATCGGGCACCCCAGAATGGCCTAGTAGGGTAGGTCAGGTACCCCAGAATCGTCTGCAGTATGTATGTTATATGGTACGTGGTATGATGGGGGAACTCCCTAAGCTTCATGCTTACGATTTATAGTTTTGGTTTCAGGTACATCTTCCTCGAGGAGAAAGGAGTCGGCGTGACTGCAGCGCATCACGCACACACATTTTCCGCACCAGAGATCTATGGGATTTTATA